CGCCTTTGTGCACTTGGCTTTGCAGTGGCAGCAGCAACGCTCGTGTTTACCTCTCTCTCTCTCTCTCTCTTTTCTCTCCCTCAGCTCGACTCAGCAGCTCACAGCAGAACAGACAGGCAGACTGTTCTAGGGGAACATTGTTTGTGGGCAGCAACTGCAGCAGCAGCGGCTACGGCTGAACATCGGATGCTCGAGCCGATCGAGGGCGGGTCATCACGTGACAGGCAAGCACGCTCAAAGGCTAGTGACGTAGTGCTCACTCTGAGCAGTGCTAGCACTGCGTGCTCTGCGCTGGCTGCCGCTCGCGCTAAGGTGCCACCGATTCTGAGGCCATTTTGGTTACTAAATCTAGTAATTACTACCCATCTTTGAAAACTAGAATCTCCAGAAAGTCGTCTTTATATTGAAGTTTTCAAAACTAAAAAAGATCGAGTTTTTAGTATGCAAGTATCGTTTGTTAAGTTGAAGAAAAATGCATTGTGACTAACTAAAGTAAGCGTCAACTTTTTAACTTTAAGTTTTGTACTTTGTAGATTTGATTACACTATTGTAAAGTAGACATTATGAAGATTCTAGCTTTCAAAGATGGGTAGTAATTTTACTAGATTTAGTAACCAAAATAGCCTCAGAATCGGTGGCACCTTAGCGCGAACGACAGCCAGCGCAGAGCACGCAGTGCTAGCACTGCTCAGAGTGAGCACTACGTCACTAGCCTTTGAGCGTGCTTGCCTGTCACGTGATGACCCGCCCTCGATCGGCTCGAGCATCCGATGTTCAGCCGTAGCAGCGGCAGCCCTGTTTTGTTTTTACTTTTTTGTTGTACTTTTTTTGGGTGATATGTCTCTTTTTTTTCTTTAAGTTTAGAAGTTTTACTTTGCAAGTTGACTTATTAGCTTACATTTCTTTTTTTCTACAATACTCGGTTTGTTCGTGTGTAAATGTGTGACTTGCTTGTTGTATGTTTCAAGCAAAAAGCTCAAAATGGAAAACCAAAGTGTTACCAAGTGGAATGGCTGAAGTGGCTGTACGAATGTGGTTGGTCAAATGTAGTTCAGATCTGGGGACAAAATTAATGAACAAATGATATGGTGTTGATCACAAAATGGAGGGGGAAATGTTTAAAAGAGTGTTCTTTGCTAAATGGACATCATCTTCCAGTGTGTGTACTGCTGCTTTTGATCACCCGTTTTCGTCTTCGTCGTCGTCGTTTGGCAGAAACTCATTTTCAACTGAAGCAGCTCGGCGGCGGCGGCAGGCTTCAGCAACTCATCACCGACCAGGTCTTCGAGAGAGCGAACATTCGGTTTAGACTGATCAGCATTGGTTTGATCGTCCCTGAGCACCACGCCCAAGCACAGTCCCGATCCGGGGTTGTACAGCTGTACGGCGGCTGAAGTGCCTGTTTGAGCGGTTTCTTCGACTTTCTCCACCTGCCACAGCTGCGTCCCGCCCTGTTGGTGGCACTTGCTGAGGTGGGGGCGGAGGCGGCGGTCGCCGCCCACCGCCAGGCAGGCCTTCGGCCCCAGGCGAATGTCCTCCGCCGCGGTGCGGCGCCACCGCTGCAGGCGCGCCGCCCGGGAGCAGGGCGCCATCAGCAGGGGCAGCCCCTGAGCGCCCCGGCCAAAGGTCGACTCGCCCGAGGCCTGCAAACAGAGCTTCAGGCTGCTGCTGCCCTCCAGTTGCAGGCGGAAGGCCTCGCCTCGGGTGGGTGGCGGCGTGGCCGGCCGGAAGAGGTTCTTTTTCAGTTTGAGGGAGTTTTTATCACCACCACCATTACTTTCCCTGGCCGCCTGTGCCACCACCTGCTGGTCGGGCGTCTGCAGCTCGGGGTACACCGTCCGCAGGTACCACTCAAAGGTGGAGCAGTTTAGGCGGCGGTGGCGCAGCTCTACCCGGGACTGAATGTCGCCGTAGTCCATGCCCGCTAGGTCGGACCGGGAGGCGAGGAAGTACTTCTGCGGGGAGTGAAAAAAAGTTTATCAGTTTTATTATCATCAACTTCTTATCAACACCACCATCACCACCACCACCACCACCATCACCACCACCAACCTTGTACTCGTCCATCCAAACGTGCGCCACTCGCAGCGAGTTGTACTCCAGCGTGTCCTGCTGTACACTTCCTTTGTTCTTATCATCACCGTCACCATCACCGTACGGCCGCCGCCTTCGAAAGATGTGCCCCACCCGGGAGCAGGGGACAATCTCCAGGCGGCCGCCGCACATCCACACGCGAAAGCTGAGCTCCAGATTTTCGCCGCCCCAAATCCGCATGCCCTCATCGTAGCCGCCTAGCTGGTGAAAGTACCGCCGCCCTATGGCGAACAGGCCGCCGGCCATCGTTGGCGAGGGCACCGGCCGAATAAAATCTTCGGGACTGTTTAAGTTTTCTATTGAGTCCCACTTAAAGTGGAGGCCCCAGTTGAAGCCGCCGCGCACCAGCGGCGACGCCCGGTACTGCAGCGTGTCCGCGTCAATTAGGTCGATGATGGGGCAGGCGATGGTGGCCGGGGAACGGGCAATGCGCCCGAGCAGCGGCTCCAGCCAGGCCCGGTTCACCTCGCAGTGGCTGTCGAGGAAGGCGAGCACAGCCCCGGTGGCAAACCGAGCTCCGTAGAGGCGCGCCCGAATGAGGCCCGCCCGTTCGGGCAGGCGGCGGAGGCGGACCTTGGTGAAGTAGTCGCCCGAAGGGGCGGCGACCGACTGCTCCTCGAAGTAGTGGGCCAGCTGCTGGACGAGGGTTTCTAGAGATGGCATGATTTGGATTAACAAAAAGGTATCAGTTATCAGCACTAAAATTATCATCTCTCTCTCTCTCTTTTATCTCGGTTACCATTGCTGTGATCATCCACGAGAATGACCTCGTGAAGGAGGTGCCGGGGCGTCCGGTCCAGGACCGAGTACACCGTTCGCTGCAGCGTGCTGAAGTGTTCATTGTGGAAGCAGATGATCACCGAGGTGGTCAGCAGCTCTGACCGGTGATCATCATCGCCAATCTTATTAGAATATTCCCTCAGCAGCACCTCATCGTACCGCTGACCTCGACACAACTCATGCCGAGTGTCCGGAAGTGAGTGCCGGCGGTGGCCGAGTCGGTCGCTGATCAACGTGTTGAAGGCGTGCCGGGCGTAGCCGGCCTCTCTTTCCGCCCGTTCGGCGTCGCTGGTCACTCGGCCCAGGGCGAGAACGTCGACGTCCGGGAAATCAGTTTCCTTTGAGGTATTTTCTTCCTGATGTTGATGTTGATGATGATCCTGCTCAGACTGGGAGGACTCAATTTGAGCACTGGGATTGGCGTTCTTTGAGTCTAAGGTATGGTTTGGCTCTTCGGCGATCACTCCCTCGATTTTGTTTGGTTCGGATACTCGAGGCTCAATGTGCAGGTGGTGGTCCTGCTGCTGCCGCTCCTGTTGCAGGTGGTGATTGTGGCTGCCAGAGGGCGTGGTGACGCCGATTAGGAGGATCATCCCCAAGATAAACAGCAGCAGACCGAGGGCGATGATCACAGTAAGCGGAGAAGTGGTGGGCGAGGTGATGATGGAGCCCCGTTTGCCACTGTTTTTGACCACCGTCACCTTCTTTTTCTTTACTATCGATCGTCGACTGGCGGTCAGGTCTCGGTGGCGGCCGGTCAGTCGGCGCAGGTACCGGTGCAGGCGATTGCGAAGGACGGCGAAGACGTTCATGATGATTGGGGTTGGTAACTGCTGATGGACCAATTCTTTACCAAACTGTTTGGTTGGTGGTTGCTGCAATTTTTGTGGAGTTGTGTTTTCAGCTCGGTGATTGCACCATTGATTGATTGATTGGTTCTCCCCTTTTTGCACGTTGAGGCTCCTGAGAAGCAAACTGGTTTTGAAGCCGGTAAAACAGGAGTAATACTACTGTAGATCACATGAAGACTGGACGCCTGGAAGTCGTTTGTTGCTCATGGTTTTTAGTTGACGTTCAAAGTGGGCCGGTAAGGTGAACTGGTGTTAAAAAGAAACCCTGGACTGGATAATAACAGTCTGGACGGTCTAGCTTATTTCATAAGAAGGCTAGACATAAGAATATTTGCAACAACAACAACAAACTCGTCGCTGCTGCTGCTGCTGCTGCTGCTGCCGTCTGCACGCAGGCTTTCCTTTCAGTCGGCCGACCTTTTTTCTGCTGCCTGAAATGAGGCAAATGAATCAAAGTGCCACTGCTGTGGCCCACTCTGCTGTGACCACCACCACCAGCATCGATGCAGTGCCCTCTCTGCTGCAGTAACGGACACTGTGAATGGCAGCTTTTAGGGGTGCTGACGTTTACCGGTGTAATCTTCTGAGTACGACGGTGATGGTGGTGGTCATCACCGCAGCAGTGCACAACAGAAGAACCAGCGGACCACCACGAGGTACACCGACAGACAGACAGACAGGCCGGCAAACACGGTGATCACTGGTGTTTGTAATCCATTTAATTACTTTTCTGACATTTAAAATTTTCACTTTTTAGATTTCGATCAGAACAACAAAATGTCCATTCGCGTGATGAACAGTCTGCTGGGCAGCTCTGTTGTTTATGCCCACATCAGTCGGCGGTTTCTGTGGACATTTCCTGACTTTGTTTTCCGGCGACAGCTCCTCACAGCCAACTCCTCCTTTTCCTCCTCCGCCTGTTTGCGGCACTTCAACGCCCGAACACTAACAACGTCCTCAGCCTCTTTTTCTTCTTCTCCTCCTCATTTTTCGGCCAACAACAATACGCCATCTTTACCAGCCTTTGCCCGTCAGCACCGACTGTTGCTTGGTAAATGCTCGGCCAAAGATGCCGCAGATGTCAGTCTCTTCTGGACGCAACAGCGAGGCGCCAAGAAGAAGGCCGGCGGAAAAGGCAAGGGAAAGAAAGGCGAAAAAACTGCTGCTTCTGCTAAAGAGGAAGAGGAAGACGACGATGAGGAGAAGGACAAGGAGGACAGCGACAGTGACCAGGACGAGGACTCGGGGGAGAACAGCAGCGACGACGTGAAGGTGATGCACACCACCGTCATATCACTGCGCCTGGACGCCATCGGCAAGCCCTGCTTCAACATACCTCGAGCGAAGATCGAGGAGAGCTTCTACAGCGTAAACTGTTTTTTTAATACAACTAATACCTAATTTCCAAAAAAAAACTAAAACTTTTATTTCCTTTCCTCTCCAGGACCTGATCCGCGTCAACGGCGAGCGCGTGGCGAAGAAGAGCTACGAGGTTCGCGTCGACGACGTCATTGACTACATCAAGGGGCTGAATGGCGAGGACCGCAGCAAGCTGGACATTACCCGCGTGCAGATTCTCTCGGTGGACGACAAAGCCGCCTCCTCGGGACGCATTCGAATGTCATTTCGAAAGACGAATGGCCTCACCGTGGACAACTACGCCCGCGATCCCTATGAGGGGGCACTGTAGGGGGAAAACGTGCAGACTTAGCAATTACTGATAGCAAAAAGAAAAGCAACAAAATGCCATTTTGATGACATGTTATTCTAGCTCGAGACGTGTTACGATTTGAAGAAACAAGAACAATTAACTTGTCTGTTTAGTACATCTTTTTTAATTAATTTTTTCTTTTCAGTGCACCTAGGAGCTTGAAAAGAAAAAATAAACTGTGTTTTTTTCTAGTAAAGGATTCAATTCATTTAATGATTGCCACAGAACGGTGTACTACTACTACTACTACTACTACTGTGCATTGAAAGCAGCAACAAAAACGTGTTTTGAAAAAAAGCAGTTCTGAGCTTCTATTCAGTGTAAGTAAAAAGCAACAAAAAGCAACGGAGTACTGAATAGGCTGTAATAACTCCCACCTTGCAGTCCTTTTTAACTTTTGTAATTTGTAAAGTGATTAGTGGGAAGTGATTAGAGCACTTTGACATTAAAAATTGAGCTGAATTGGGCGAACAAATTGACATTACATTAAATAATGAGCAGCAGTTGCTGAAAACATTTTTCGTTAATTTGTTAATGCGTGGGTGCTCAGCAGATGGCGGATCTATTGTGGAACCATTTTCTAACACAATCTTTTGACTTAGTTTGTGTCACATTAAGAAATTAAAATCTAGTAAGTAAAATTTTGTTTTTAACTAATGTCATATGCTGACTATGACTTTAATAAGTTTCAAATAAAAACAACAAAATGCATCAGAAAATTAAAATAAAATCATTTTGCATTTCACCGTTTTTTGTCAACATTAAAAAATTGTTTATTGTTAACATTAATAATTTGCATTAATAAACAGGCTCTAATTTGACATTTACATTGCGGCGGCACATTCCTCTCAACCGCACTGCATGCAGCACTGCAGCCAAACCGAATCCGAATCCCCAAATGCCACATGCCTTTCAAATGACACATTTAAACGCTCTTTTTTTTGCTGCTAATTATCATGATGAAGATGTCAGCCTGAACCAAACCAAACTAAATTCAGTGACAGCTCAAGTTAAATGCAAAAAACACACTATTAAAATGAACTTTTATGCTCGTATTTTCAATTCAAAGCACCGCGCCTTTGCAAGTGTTGACCTTTCGCATGTGTGTTAACATTTTCCCGCAACCGCAAACAAGTGTACAATCAAGTACAAATGCCACCACCACCACCACCACCCTCACCACCATCGCCACCATAATCATCCTAATTGTTATTATTACAACTGATAAGCTGAACTTTTGCCTCTCTTTTTCTTTATCATCAACTTCCTTCAATTACCACCACCACCACTACATACACACACATTAAACAATTCACCACAAATAAAAGTTCATCGAAGCAAAAAGGAAAGCGAACAGCTTCTCAAGCAGGACAACTTTGCGGCAAACAAGTTGTTTCACGCTGATTCAAAGTGGGCGCGCGCAATCACAAAGTAAAAGTTGTGACTAATTCAATTGGTCCAAATCAACAGACAAACGAAGGGGAAACTGACAGTTTCCAGGCGCACTCTGTGATGACTGAAACAAACGGGGAAAAAGCTGGACAAGAAAGCAGTTTCAGTCGTCAGCAAAACTTTTTTCCCTTTTGGACCAACTCTGCAATTAGCAACAATAGAGGCGGCTGCGGCAGCAATCGGAAGACCTTAATGGCAAAGCAATCTCTAATTTCAAAACTCTTCCTCATCCTTTTTCCCCTCTGTGGTTATTAATAGTAATCACAACTTTTTTCTCTTTACTAAGCCACATTAGCTTGTTAACTAGACAGGCACACTTGCACATTCATCTTTGCACTGAAATGTAATCAAACAAATTTGTTTTCAAACATTTAATTTTTTGTATTAATAAAATAGGTTGTGTAAAAAATGCATGAATGACTGGAGCACTTCATCACTGATAAACAAAAATGGCAAAATAAAAACCAAAAACAAATTTAGCAGTTTAGCATTTCATTTTTCAATTCAATCTGTGGTGATGATTAAATTGAAAAATGAAATAAACTAAAAGAAAGAGATAAAGCACTGGATGACAAGTGAGCCGGCAATTTAAAAAGGAAAAGAAAAAAATGTGTTTCAAATAGAAGCAAATGTCATTTGACATTTTCTACTGATTTGAACACACACACACACACACACACCCATATACATTTCACTCTCGCTGATTACCTCATTCATTTTAATTTTTGGCAATGCCTAAAACAAGAGAAAAAAGGTGCAGTTGTCAGTTTTAGAGTTTAGCAAGAAAACGCGGCAGTCACATTAATGGAAACAGCAATGAAAGATTTTGCCGCTGCTGAAACTGCGCTTACTGCAAAGGGCAATTAAATTATGACACCTACTGCTAATCATTAGTGTGATCTTGAAAACGAGACCAGGAAAATACCTAGAAAAAAATTGAGGAAAAGAGCAAAGGTTTGCTCTAATTTGAATTTGACATTACTGGAAAACTTCAGCAAAAATTTGTCACCAGTCTAAAATTGATGTACATGAAAGGAATGACAAAAAAAGTTTAAATGCACAAATCTTTTCAATTTGAAATAGCTAAATTAATGCCGATAGCTTAAGGGCGCTGCTGGCTGCTAACTTTAAAAATTTTTAATTTTAAATTTTGTAAACTCACATTTACAAACAGATAGAAAACTTAAAACTAATTTGCAATTTAATCTCATTCTCCAAAACATTAAAATACAAATAAAAAGTTCAAGTAGTCAAAAGCACACCAGTTTGCCCTGTTTTGACCTCATAAAACAGCCCAAACTACCCTAATAAATAACAAACTGCCGTCAATTTACCGGTTTTGCTAATTATTCCTATTGTTGGATTGCTCTTTTAAAAGTTTGCTTTTTAAATTGGTTCTCCAAATTTCTCCAGTTCAAAGTGAATGACCGGTAGCAATAAATTTAAAAACACACTCTAAATTAAACAACCGGTGCAGTGGAGAGTAGTAGCACTAGTGAAGGGTTTAGCCAGTATATAAATGTTTAATTAAACCATTAGCAGGGCAGGCAGGCAGTTTCAGACAGAAGGAATAAAAACAAATTAAAAGAAGCCGTCGTCGTCGTCGTCGTTCTGCTGGTTACCAGCACTCTATGTCCTTTTCTATTTTGTGCGCTAGAAACGTAGTCAGGAGCCATTTTGTGTGAGTTTAGGGAAACCTGCTGATGCTGCTGATGTTGCTGATGCTGTTTTCTAATTAGCCATGAAAAACGTCGGTGCAAAAACGATGCAAAACGAGAGCCGGAGAAGACGTGAGGGAGTCAGTGCTTTCAACTTCAGTCGGACGCTATCGATCACTTCAAGGAGGATTACCAAGGTTGCTGCTGCTGCTGCTGCTGCCGGTGCAAATGGGGGAAAAAGGGGGAAAAGGGCGAAATCTGAAGATTGGGAAGGGGTGCTACTGGCGAAGAGATAAGTTAAAATGATGTAGAGTTAAAAACTAACCCTGATCTAAAAATGTGGTGCTCTGGAA